ATCCCTTCCAAGTGGATGGCAGTGGTATCTGGGCACCATCTGGTTCTTCTGGTCTCATAGTTGTAGGTTGCAGATCGGATGGTGTACCAGTAAGCCTATAAATCTTGACAGAGGCAGACTGCCATATCTTTCTCCTGCAGAGCAGTTCGTGTGTTCAAACTGCTGACCTTTAGCAGCTGAGCACTTCAATGACTGCACCACCAGGGCTCACTACCAGGCCTATAGACTTTTTTATACACATATAGGGGAAGGAAGACCATGATTCTTTTCTCAATCTTTGAACAAAATTCCTGAGCTTTGGGTCAGAATAACAGTTATTCTTGAAATGTGGATACTGACTGGGAAGGAACAAGAGGGAGCCTTCTAGGGTGCTGGTAAAGTTCTAGATGTTGATCTACATGGTTGTTACACAGATATGAACAGATGTAAAAATTCAAAAAGCTGTACACTCAAGGTGTGAGCATTAACTGTGTTTAAAATTAAACCTGAAACACACACATACACGAAGTCTTGAGCATCACTCTGATTGGACCAAGGTAGGTCATATGCCCACTCCTGAACCAGTCAAAGAGCTAAGGTGGATGGAGTCACTAACCAAGGTCTCTGATGGAACTAGAGGTATATCCAACCTTAAGTCTGCTATACGATAGAAAAAGGATAGAATGGATGATAATGAGACAACTATAAAGTCATCTGTAGCAGTTATTACCAACGATTATGTCTAGAAAGATAAGAGAAATAAAAATGAATTGAATGTCCAAAATATCTCCATAGAGATGAAAGTAGATTAGTGGTAAGGAAGAAATTAGGAATGATTACAAAAGGGTATAAGGTTTCTTTTTGGGATAATGGAAATGTTCTGGAATTAAGTAGGAGTGATGGTTGCACAATATAATGAATATACTAAAAAGTACTGAATTGTATACTTTAAAAATGGTGAATTTTGTGTTATGTGAATTAATACATCAGTTGAAAAATGAAGTAAAGATTATCTAAAACCAAGAGTCAACATTAAATTTCAAGGAGAAGTATTTAGTCATTCCACACAAAATGAAGAACATTGTTTTTTTTAATTTCTTATACAGCATTACATGTCTTTTAATACATATTATATCAGAAATTCTCCCAATTA